AGGAGATGAGCTTGAGGAGATGAGCTTGAGGAGATGAGCTTGAGGAGATGAGCTTGAGGAGATGAGCTTGAGGAGATGAGCTTGAGGAGATGAGCTTGAGGAGATGAGCTTGAGGAGATGAGCTTGAGGAGATGAGCTTGAGGAGATGAGCTTGAGGAGATGAGCTTGAGGAGATGAGCTTGAGGAGATGAGCTTGAGGAGATGAGCTTGAGGAGATGAGCTTGAGGAGATGAGCTTGAGGAGATGAGCTTGAGGAGATGAGCTTGAGGAGATGAGCTTGAGGAGATGAGCTTGAGGAGATGAGCTTGAGGAGATGAGCTTGAGGAGATGAGCTTGAGGAGATGAGCTTGAGGAGATGAGCTTGAGGAGATGAGCTTGAGGAGATGAGCTTGAGGAGATGAGCTTGAGGAGATGAGCTTGAGGAGATGAGCTTGAGGAGATGAGCTTGAGGAGATGAGCTTGAGGAGATGAGCTTGAGGAGATGAGCTTGAGGAGATGAGCTTGAGGAGATGAGCTTGAGGAGATGAGCTTGAGGAGATGAGCTTGAGGAGATGAGCTTGAGGAGATGAGCTTGAGGAGATGAGCTTGAGGAGATGAGCTTGAGGAGATGAGCTTGAGGAGATGAGCTTGAGGAGATGAGCTTGAGGAGATGAGCTTGAGGAGATGAGCTTGAGGAGATGAGCTTGAGGAGATGAGCTTGAGGAGATGAGCTTGAGGAGATGAGCTTGAGGAGATGAGCTTGAGGAGATGAGCTTGAGGAGATGAGCTTGAGGAGATGAGCTTGAGGAGATGAGCTTGAGGAGATGAGCTTGAGGAGATGTGCTTGAGGAGATGTGCTTGAGGAGATGTGCTTGAGGAGATGTGCTTGAGGAGATGAGCTTGAGGAGATGAGCTTGAGGAGATGAGCTTGAGGAGATGAGCTTGAGGAGATGAGCTTGAGGAGATGAGCTTGAGGAGATGAGCTTGAGGAGATGAGCTTGAGGAGATGTGCTTGAGGAGATGAGCTTGAGGAGATGTGCTTGAGATGAGCTTGAGGAGATGTGCTTGAGGAGATGTGCTTGAGGAGATGTGCTTGGGGAGATGAGCTTGAGGAGATGAGCTTGAGGAGATGTGCTTGAGGAGATGAGCTTGAGGAGATGTGCTTGAGATGAGCTTGAGGAGATGTGCTTGAGGAGATGTGCTTGAGGAGATGTGCTTGGGGAGATGAGCTTGAGGAGATGAGCTTGAGGAGATGTGCTTGAGATGAGCTTGAGGAGATGTGCTTGAGATGAGCTTGAGGAGATGTGCTTGAGGAGATGTGCTTGAGGAGATGTGCTTGAGGAGATGTGCTTGGGGAGATGAGCTTGAGGAGATGTGCTTGAGGAGATGTGCTTGAGGAGATGAGCTTGAGGAGATGAGCTTGAGGAGATGTGCTTGAGGAGATGAGCTTGAGGAGATGTGCTTGAGATGAGCTTGAGGAGATGTGCTTGAGGAGATGTGCTTGAGGAGATGTGCTTGGGGAGATGAGCTTGAGGAGATGAGCTTGAGGAGATGTGCTTGAGATGAGCTTGAGGAGATGTGCTTGAGATGAGCTTGAGGAGATGTGCTTGAGGAGATGTGCTTGAGGAGATGTGCTTGAGGAGATGTGCTTGGGGAGATGAGCTTGAGGAGATGTGCTTGAGATGAGCTTGAGGAGATGTGCTTGAGATGAGCTTGAGGAGATGTGCTTGAGGAGATGTGCTTGAGGAGATGTGCTTGAGGAGATGTGCTTGGGGAGATGAGCTTGAGGAGATGAGCTTGGTCAGTTTCCGAACACAGAAGGAAGCTTTGCTAACAGAAGCCCAATTTCTCCGGAAAGAACTTGACAACGAGAGGCAAATTACAGATTCTCTGAAGGTAGAGCTTGAGGAGATAAGTAATAGGAGAGCATGGGGGGTCACCCATGAGGCTGTCAAGAGCAACCAAGAAATGGAACATTTGAAGAACCAACTTTCTGAGTTAGAAAAGAAACTCAATTTTGAAGAGCAGAGGTCAGATTTTACGGGAAGCCAATGGAACATCGAAGCCAAGGAACAAAACCGAAAAACAAGATGGTAAAAATCCGCATGCTCATCAGCAGTCAGAAGATTCTAAACGAAGGCAAATCAACGAACAAACAAACAAAAAAAAAAAAGGTAAAAGCTACGTTTTTCAACTCAGTCCAAGAAACTTTTGATGCAGTGAAAAGAATTTGTGAGACACCATAAGGAAAAAAAAAAAATCAAACGAGCAAAAGAAGCCGTGAAGGAGGACTTGAAGAAATTCTCCGATTCGGTGAAAAACAACATTCCGGCACTTTAAAGACTAGGGATGCACCGATACCGATACGAGTATGGGTGCCGATACCGAGTATTTGGGTGAGGTTCCCGTCTCATTTCAGGGAGGTGGCCGTCTCATTTCAGGGAGTTTCCCGTCTCATTTCAGGGAGGTTCCCGTCTCATTTCAGGGAGGTTCCCGTCTCATTTCAGGGAGGTGGCCGTCTCATTTCAGGGAGTTTCCCGTCTCATTTCAGGGAGGTTCCCGTCTCATTTCACGGAGGTTCCCGTCTCATTTCCGGGAGCTGTCCGTCTCATTTCAGGGAGGTGCCAGTCTCATTTCAGGGAGGTTCCCGTCTCATTTCCGGGAGCTGTCCGTCTCATTTCAGGGAGGTTCCCGTCTCATTTCACGGAGGTTCCCGTCTCATTTCCGGGAGCTGTCCGTCTCATTTCAGGGAGGTGCCAGTCTCATTTCAGGGAGGTTCCCGTCTCATTTCCGGGAGCTGTCCGTCTCATTTCAGGGAGGTGCACGTCTCATTTCAGGAGGCGAGCCCCATTCTGAGGCTACTCTAGAGATCACATGACCATGAAAAAGAATACCAGCACACCTAATCATGTGACACACAAGGTCCTGCAGGGAAAGAGCACACCTGATCATGTGATACACAAGGTCCTGCAGGGAAAGAGCTCACCTGATCATGTGATACACAAGGTCCTGCAGGGAAAGAGAACACCTGATCATGTGACACACAAGGTCCTGCAGGGAATGGATCGGACTTGTTCTTCCAGAACATCCCACAGATGATCCATTGGACTGAGATCTGGAGAATTTGGAGGTGGAGTCATCACCTCAGACTCGTTGTGTTCCCCAAACCATTCTTCCCCCATGTGTGCATTGTGGCCGGGCGCATTATCCTGCTGAGAGAGGCCACTGCCATCAGGGAGTACCGTGTCCATGAAGGGGGGGCGGGGTCAGGGACAATGTTTAGGTCGGTGTCAGAGTGACATTCACATGAGTGGCCGGACCCGAGGTGTCCCAGTAGAACATTGCCCATCACACTGCCCCTCCCCCGGCTTGTCTTCCTCCCATAGTACATCCCGGTGCCGTCTCTTCCCCAGGTAAGTGACACACATGGACCCTGCCATCCACATGATTCATCAGACCCGGCCACCTCCTTCCATCGCTCCGTGCTCCAGTTCTGACGCTCACATGACCACTGTAGGCGCTTTTGGCGGTGGACACGGGTCAGCATGGGCCCCCTGACCGGTCTGCGGCTACACAGGCCCCCATACACCACGACCCGCGATGCTCTGTGTGCTCAGACACCTATCTATCAGAACCAGAACCATGAACTTTATCAGCAATCGGATCTACTTTTAGAGCCACAAATCTGATAAACGCGGTCAAGCGATAAGACGGCGTCCTCCGAGTCCGGTAAGGAGGACGCAACGGGTCTACTGTCGTTATTTTCCTCCGTTGTGAGGTCACAGGTATCAATATTGGTCCAGACTGCTGAGAAATCCCCGCAGCTCCCGAACTCTCCACCAGGTGGCAATCTTGGCGGTTTATCTTCAGCGGAACGCTCTGACAGGAAGTGATGCGAGACACAAACAGGAAGTGATGTCATCTATAAATAGTTCCGGGTGAGAGGTGAGTTGGGAGGAAGTAGAGAGGAGACATTGCTGGAACTGGAGGCAGAGGAGGTAATAAGATATTATTTTATATCTACACCCAGTAACCCCTCTCCCCCCACACACACACCAAGAACGCTTTTGTCCTCTCAATACATCCTAAATATAGAGCCATTTATCCAACTGTCCATCCAGAGCCGCCATTTATAGACCGGATACACCCTAAATATAGAGCCATTTATCCAACTGTCCATCCAGAGCCGCCATTTATAGACCGGCCCCCACACACACACCAAGAACGCTTTTGTAGACCGGATACATCCTAAATATAGAGCCATTTATCCAACTGTCCATCCAGAGCCGCCATTTATAGACCGGATACATCCTAAATATAGAGCCATTTATCCAACTGTCCACCCAGAGCCGCCATTTATAGACCAGATATATCCTAAAGAAGGTCTGAGATGGTGTACCAAACCTAAATAAGTCACCAGTTATTATCCATCTGCAGAGAGTCTCGGCCTGTAGAGATCATATGACCTCACCAAGGATGATGGAGGAGGACCGGAGTCACATGACTGAGAGGATACTAAACTTCACCCTGGAGATCATCTACCTGCTGACCGGAGAGGTGAGAAGGATTCTGGGAGGGTCTCGCTATATCCATATTATCTCATTTTATAGATCACAGACGTCTCTGTAGAGGTAAGGGGCATTAACTATGATCTTTATCACAGAATATTCCCGTTGCGAAGTCTGGGGACCGCGTGACCATCAGAGTGCCTCCAACTCACCGCCTTAGACTTGAGAGGAACAACAAGAAAAAGATTGTAGAAGTCACCAAGAAGATGATGGAGCTGCTGACGGGAGAGGTGAGCGGTGCCGGGGATTCTGGGACATGATCCAGGAACAGACAAGGGGCGTGTCTGGGTGGTGACGGTATCATTTAATGAGGAGGAGATACTGTACACCATATGAAGGTCCATCTCCATTCCTCAATATAACGTCATGTGACCAACAAATGAGGAGGAGATACTGTACACCATATGAAGGTCCATCTCCATTCCTCAGTAGAAGGTCATGTGACCATTATCGATGAATATAACTATAAATCTCTTTCCGGCAGGTGGATACGACGTCTGGGACACCTCAGAGGAACATCTCATGACCTCTCCAGAAGATGACGCAATAGATTTCAGGATCATCCAATGTTCTCCAGAAGCCAAGTGCGATGCTCCGAGTATACATCAGATCCTGCACTGTGCGGACGTTTCGGTAGATCCCTTCTACTCTAAGGATACTTCTTACAAGTTCCACACTGATAACCCAAATCTTTATCCCGTAGCTCACAATGGAATGGAAATACCGGCAGAACTAACGCATTTCGAGGATCACTTTGATAACTTCCATGCTGTTTCCCCGCATATCCTTCCAAGACTTCACCTCGAAGACGGGACACCAGATCCCTACAACCCCGAGGAATCGTCTCCTGATCACTTAGATGGCATTGTACTAAAAGTTGAAGAGATCCTTCCATATTCTATGGACGATGATTGCTTAGCACTGACCCCAGGTCCCTCTGTACATCAGAACGTGGGAGAACATCTATTTCCATGTTCTGAGTGTGGGAAGTGTTTTACCAATGAATCATATCTTACGTGTCATGAAAGGGTTCACACTGCGGCCAGTCCCTATCCATGTCTGGAGTTCGGGAAAGGTTTTGTATCGGAACCGCAACTTACCACACACGTCATTAATCACACCGGAGCGCTGCACTATTCCTGCTCGGAGTGCGGGAAGAGTTTCTTGCACAAGCGCAACATTGCCAGACATCTGAGACATCACACGGGTGAAAGGCCGTATGTGTGCTCAGAGTGTGGCCAGTATTTCATGCAGAAAGTTCATCTGACGAGACACCTGAAAGTTCACACGGGTGAAAAGCCGTATATGTGCTCAGAGTGTGGCCAGTATTTCATGCAGAAAGGTCATCTGACCAGACACCTGAAAGTTCACACCGGCGAAAAACCTTTTTTGTGTTCAGAGTGCGGGAAAAGTTTTCCGCGGAAAGATACATACATCAATCACCAGCAAATCCACATGGACAAAAAAATGTATTCATGTACGGAGTGCGGGAAAGGCTTTGCTCTTAGAGGGATGCTTATTATACACCAGCGAACCCACACAATGGAGAAGCCAACAAAATCTGAACGTGGTACATCTTTAAAAGCAACATCCCAACTTCAAGTACATCAAAGTGTGCACACGGTAGAGAAGATCTTTTCATGCCCCGAGAGCGAGAAATCGGACCTTGTGAGATATCAGGGAGTTCACTTCACCGAGAAAGCCGGCGAACACGGCAAAGGTTTCTCGCTGAACGTAAGCCCCGTTACCCAAGTCCTCGCCAAAGAGAAGCCATTTTCCTGTTTAGAGTGCGGGAAATGTTACAGACAGAAAAGGCACCTGCTTACGCACCAGAGAATTCACACTGGCAAGCTTCCTTATAAATGTTCAGAGTGCGGGAAATGTTTCAACGAGAAACGGTACCTCGTGAATCACCAGAGGAATCACATTGGCGAGCGTCCTTTTTCATGTTCAGAGTGCGGGAAAAGTTTTACGTGGAAGGAAAGCCTCATAAGGCACAAGAAGTTTCACAGTGGAGTGCGCCCGCACGCCTGTTCAGAGTGTGGCAAATGTTTTACTCAGAGAGGGGACCTTCTTAGACACCATAGAACCCACATGGACAAGTTTCTTTTCTCATGTTAGGAGCAGGAAATGTTTCTGTCACAATACATATCTTATTAAACACGAGTAAAGTCATACGTGTGCGTGTGTTATTTTTCATATACAAGGACAGGGAGAGATCATTTCAATAGTTAGGAGATAATTCAAACTAGAGAGCAGCCATGATCATGTTGCAGTGTGGGAAATGTTTCTTTCAAAGACGAGTCCTTCTGTCCCTCCAGAGAATACACACGGGTGAGTATCCCTTCGAGGTCTTGAGGACCATGACCAGTTGCCATTAAAGTGCACATGAATGTATTCACATATTAATATCAATCAGTAAAATCACATTCAAACAATCCCTCGTTCATCTCTGTAGCTATAGGCACTGTGGAGAAATGAATTCTCAAAGTTCAGAACACAGCGGCCGAGTCCCAACCTTAGACTCTTTGTTAGGAATCTTTGAGAATGAATTACTTCACGGTGCAATCTGCTAGAAATGGTTTATCGTAAGGCCACGCCTCCCTTCTGCTGGGTTACTGCTTCCTGCCTTCTCCAAAAGCTACTGCTGTCACACCAGGCTACGATTGGTCACCCAAAGGTCTAGATTAGCTGTTCTCAACCACCATGTCATGGCCTCTCTCCTGTTGGGTGGTGGCTTCCTGTCTTCCCCAACAGCTACTGCTGTCACACCAGGCTCCGATTGGCCACCCGAAGGACCAAGCTCTATGGTCTAGATCAGTTCTCAACCACAAGGCCGTGGCCTCAAATCTGCCCGAGTTTCAGCTTCCTGTCTTCTGCTACTGCTGTCACACCAGGTTCAGACTGGCCACCTGAAGGACTAAGCTCCATGGTCTAGATTCATTCTTAACGGCGGTTCTCGACCACCTGTCTTCTGGTCCCTTTTCTGGATCTGGTAAAGGAGTCTGTCAGCACTATTGGACTGGGCACATTTCCATTCCTAGATTACTGGTCCACCACACTCGTACATGGACACAGACAGTGGACTTTGGTGGGTACAACATTGTTTTAGAAGGTACATTTAAAAAAACCTGAATGGGTGGTGGGGACTGGGAAAGGGGTGGTGTGGTTGGCAGGGGAATCGTTTCGGTTTTGCCCAGAGATGGGCTTTAAGGTTTGACCTGGATCCTTAGATCTCACAATTGATGACCAGAAGGCAAAGAAAGGAAACCCTTAGAGAGTGTTATCTTATTTCCTTCTATAGAAGCCTCCACCACTACATCTAAGAGTTCCATCTCTGATCCCATCCTGTGTATGGAGCCTCCACCACTACTACATCTAAGACTTCCATCTCTGATACTATCCTGTGTATGGAGCCTCCACCACTACTACATCTAAGACTTCCATCTCTGATACTATCCTGTGTATGGAGCCTCCACCACTACTACATCTAAGACTTCCATCTCTGATACTATCCTGTGTATGGAGCCTCCACCACTACTACATCTAAGACTTCCATCTCTGATACTATCCTGTGTATGGAGCCTCCACCACTACTACATCTAAGACTTCCATCTCTGATACTATCCTGTGTATGGAGCCTCCACCACTACTACATCTAAGACTTCCATCTCTGATACTATCCTGTGTATGGAGCCTCCACCACTACTACATCTAAGACTTCCATCTCTGATACTATCCTGTGTATGGAGCCTCCACCACTACTACATCTAAGACTTCCATCTCTGATACTATCCTGTGTATGGAGCCTCCACCACTACTACATCTAAGACTTCCATCTCTGATACTATCCTGTGTATGGAGCCTCCACCACTACTACATCTAAGACTTCCATCTCTGATACTATCCTGTGTATGGAGCCTCCACCACTACTACATCTAAGACTTCCATCTCTGATACTATCCTGTGTATGGAGCCTCCACCACTACTACATCTAAGACTTCCATCTCTGATACTATCCTGTGTATGGAGCCTCCACCACTACTACATCTAAGACTTCCATCTCTGATACTATCCTGTGTATGGAGCCTCCACCACTACTACATCTAAGACTTCCATCTCTGATACTATCCTGTGTATGGAGCCTCCACCACTACTACATCTAAGACTTCCATCTCTGATACTATCCTGTGTATGGAGCCTCCACCACTACTACATCTAAGACTTCCATCTCTGATACTATCCTGTGTATGGAGCCTCCACCACTACTACATCTAAGACTTCCATCTCTGATACTATCCTGTGTATGGAGCCTCCACCACTACTACATCTAAGACTTCCATCTCTGATACTATCCTGTGTATGGAGCCTCCACCACTACTACATCTAAGACTTCCATCTCTGATACTATCCTGTGTATGGAGCCTCCACCACTACTACATCTAAGACTTCCATCTCTGATACTATCCTGTGTATGGAGCCTCCACCACTACTACATCTAAGACTTCCATCTCTGATACTATCCTGTGTATGGAGCCTCCACCACTACTACATCTAAGACTTCCATCTCTGATACTATCCTGTGTATGGAGCCTCCACCACTACTACATCTAAGACTTCCATCTCTGATACTATCCTGTGTATGGAGCCTCCACCACTACTACATCTAAGACTTCCATCTCTGATACTATCCTGTGTATGGAGCCTCCACCACTACTACATCTAAGACTTCCATCTCTGATACTATCCTGTGTATGGAGCCTCCACCACTACTACATCTAAGACTTCCATCTCTGATACTATCCTGTGTATGGAGCCTCCACCACTACTACATCTAAGACTTCCATCTCTGATACTATCCTGTGTATGGAGCCTCCACCACTACTACATCTAAGACTTCCATCTCTGATACTATCCTGTGTATGGAGCCTCCACCACTACTACATCTAAGACTTCCATCTCTGATACTATCCTGTGTATGGAGCCTCCACCACTACTACATCTAAGACTTCCATCTCTGATACTATCCTGTGTATGGAGCCTCCACCACTACTACATCTAAGACTTCCATCTCTGATACTATCCTGTGTATGGAGCCTCCACCACTACTACATCTAAGACTTCCATCTCTGATACTATCCTGTGTATGGAGCCTCCACCACTACTACATCTAAGACTTCCATCTCTGATACTATCCTGTGTATGGAGCCTCCACCACTACTACATCTAAGACTTCCATCTCTGATACTATCCTGTGTATGGAGCCTCCACCACTACTACATCTAAGACTTCCATCTCTGATACTATCCTGTGTATGGAGCCTCCACCACTACTACATCTAAGACTTCCATCTCTGATACTATCCTGTGTATGGAGCCTCCACCACTACTACATCTAAGACTTCCATCTCTGATACTATCCTGTGTATGGAGCCTCCACCACTACTACATCTAAGACTTCCATCTCTGATACTATCCTGTGTATGGAGCCTCCACCACTACTACATCTAAGACTTCCATCTCTGATACTATCCTGTGTATGGAGCCTCCACCACTACTACATCTAAGACTTCCATCTCTGATACTATCCTGTGTATGGAGCCTCCACCACTACTACATCTAAGACTTCCATCTCTGATACTATCCTGTGTATGGAGCCTCCACCACTACTACATCTAAGACTTCCATCTCTGATACTATCCTGTGTATGGAGCCTCCACCACTACTACATCTAAGACTTCCATCTCTGATACTATCCTGTGTATGGAGCCTCCACCACTACTACATCTAAGACTTCCATCTCTGATACTATCCTGTGTATGGAGCCTCCACCACTACTACATCTAAGACTTCCATCTCTGATACTATCCTGTGTATGGAGCCTCCACCACTACTACATCTAAGACTTCCATCTCTGATACTATCCTGTGTATGGAGCCTCCACCACTACTACATCTAAGAGGTCCATCTCTGATACTATCCTGGAAAGTAGAGTAATTAACACGCATGGAGATCCCTAGAAATGGTAGACATTTCCAAGGCCCTGACCTCTTGATCAAATCCTGGACAGCTGCTATGTAGGACCTCCGACACATTCTACATTCTATATCTGAATTTGTACAAGCAGCACCTCATTTTTACCATTTTCGACTGTCTAGGGTCTCCTTTATCCCTTGGCCAACCTCTAGACTCCCAACTACCTCACCGTAGAACGAGATCCCCAATGTACTTTGGGGTTCAACAGATTCCACCCCCTTCGTTAGGGTTAGTAGGGTGTCCGAGTGAAGGAGAATTGCTAAAAATGAATCTCCTAGGAGGACTTGTCCTACATCTCCATTCATGATCCCGAATACTACTGAGCCTTCACCCCCCCAAATGCAGGACACTGAAGTCTCTATCGCTTGTTCCGTATTGGTTGGATCTTTCCACCGTACAATACCCTCAACAACATATAATATTCGTGGTTCTTCTAGTGGTTGTCCTCAGATTTCCTTGACTTCCTACATTTCCACCACTTTTGTCTTCACCAGATGGCTTCTGGTTGTACGCCCCAAGTCACCAGAACGTGTCGGAAACCCCTTCTCGTGATGAGGAGCATGCTCCAAGTCACAAGAACTTTTTGGAAACCCCTTCTCCTTTTGAGGAGCCTTCAGAACCTCTTTGAGAACCGAAAGCCAACTCTTTTCTTTTTTGGTTCTTTCATTTCAAGCTGTAGAAACAAAAACAGCGAACGTTACAATGTAACAATTTCCCCACAAGAGGTACAAAGCTGAAACTTATCACAACTTCCTCGTAGAGAGTCCGGCAAGGAGGACTCTACGGTTACTATTCTTATTCTCCTTCTTATGAAGCAACAGGAGATCAAAAATCTACGGATCACCATGGACACAAACAGTAGCCGGTAGTCTTCAGACGGCTGTATGGAGCTTGCAGCTATCATACTTTCCACAAGATGGAGACCTCAAGTATTATAAGTGGAACGCACAATGGCAGGAAGTGTTATGATGAGTAGACTCAGAGTTCCGGGTGAGAGGTGAGATGGATACATCCTAAATATAGAGCCATTTATCCAACTGTCCATCCAGAGCCGCCATTTATAGACCAGATACATCCTAAATATAG